AACCTAGTGGATCTAAGGTGAACCCAAGAAATTCAGTTTAGAAGGCTAAGCATCCCAAATTATGTAATCAAATTTAAATTGACAATGATATGTTACAACGAAGCCTTCCGTTAATTTAAATGTTTATCCAAAGTACCTAAGAGGCATCCAAGAATTACGTGGTTAGCACTGATTTGGGCCAAAGCCACCAGGGCATTTTCCAAACGCGCATCTGGATCTGTTGTAAACTGCCGTGGCACTTTAATGAAGTACGCGCCGATTGTCACAACAGTAAGCAAAACAATTCCATAAGCACCTGTTGCATATTTTGCATCAATTCACTTTCTACAGTAACTGTTAGTACCTTCAAGTCCAACGGCGATTGGAGGCTTGACATTGTACTTTACGACAAACCTTTCCTCGTACACCAACTCTGCAGCTGCCACAAATTGAACCAGCACAATCAACAGATCACCTAGGATTGAACAAAAAATATTTCTATATCCCTCTCTGACGGAATTCTATTCATAAGGATACCTGCAATAACCCCGTTTGGATTCGATGATGCATCGGAAGCACCCTGAAGAAAGTCTGAAACCCCTACCGTCACAAGACCACCAATAACGACGAAGATTCCGGCCCATTTGTGCCAAGATATGGACTTATGCAGAAACACGACCGACAAAAGAGTGGTGAAGATGATGACTCCTCCTTGACAGAAAAAATGACTCAAAATGAATATTACGTTCGAGAGTGGTACCTCGCAGCATTTGATAACTGGCAGCATACGTTAAAGCTAATCCTGTGTAATTCAAGACTATGACGATTAGGTCGCAGCATGTGGGGAATAAAAAAATCAGTGGATTAAATGGAGGATGGGGCTTTCCGTCGTCCTTGACAAAGCTTTTACACGGAGCAAAACGACGAAGTTTTCTAAGCAAAAAATATGCTATAAGACACCCAGCCTCGCCAATGAACACGCAGTTGCCCTGAAAACAGAAACGAAATATTTCGACGGCAAGCGCCTCATTAATTACTTGGACAAATGGGTGATTGAACGGTCGATTCAAAGCTACACATCTGTCCGCCCACCTGAAAACATTCATACCGACAATGCAGTATTTAAAAGTTCCTTCACATACTTGGCCAAAAGGGTGTCAATGGACCCAGTGAAGACAAAAGTAAATACCACAAACAGCAACCATGAAGTCCATTTACTCTCCACTTGTGGCATGGCAAGGCGAAAATAAGAAAGTTTGGTTAACAGTGAGTAGCTACCGGTCAGGGCTTTGTCTGCCTGGGTTAGATTCGGCTCAAAAAACGTCGGTTGAAGTCTCTCCCATTTCAGCATCAATTTATCCTGATTGATTAATGCGTAAAAAGGCACGTAGAATAAGAGATAAAGTTTTGTAACAAAACAAAAAGGCATTCCACGCCACACGATCTTCACGTGTTTAAAGGGCAGTGGCACGTATCACCCATAAATTGTCAGAAGAGCCTAGTCTCATGTAGAAACTGTCAAAACAGTTAACTCCACTTAAATGACGCATTTTGGAAAAGCGAGAAACAGTTGAAGTATGGCTGATGCGTTTTATCATTATATTGGAAACGGAATGGTAATAATCAAGACAATTTGTATGAATTATTTTTTCCCTGCGCAAAGACTTGCCGTCACTCTTCTGAATA